TGAGAGAGAAACATCGATTGGTTGCCTCCTGTACATGCCACAACCGGGTGTTGGACCTGCAGCCTTTTGGTGTACGGCAGCCTTTTGGTGTATGGGACGATGCTCCAACCAACTGACCCACACAGCCACATCTGGATAGGATTTTCTTAGTGAGCTGACTCTGTCACCAACACTCCACTAGTGTTCATCTCCACTGAAGAACTAGGGTAGGAGGCAAATTGGGCATTGAGAAGAGGGATAGAATAAGCATTAGAACAGTAACAGAGATTTGGTTTCTAAACAGAAATACATGTCAGAATAGGGAGTTACATTTGATAAGATGGAATTTCAGAGTTTGAATTAACATATAATGGCTGTATCTCTTTCTCATAGTTCTTTCTTTACATATATATCCCAGTATGTTTACATTATTTTATTTCATTATATTCTATGACATGACAAACTAATTTTTAGCTTGTTTTGCCCATTTTTCTTTTTTTTTTTTCCCCACATCTTTATTGTTGGATGTAAAATGTATTACAGATGTTCCACATTTTTCCCCCATTGACCCCCTCCTCCCCACTCCTGCCCCCCTCCCACCTTTTCCCAAACTATTGTCCGTGTCCATTGGTTATGCATATAAGTTCTTTGGTTTATTTCTTCCCACCCCCCCAACCCCTTTCTCTTTGAGGTTTGTCAGTCTAGCAATGAATTTGTGCTTCTTAATCCCTTCACCTTTTTCATCCATTCCCCCAACCCCTTTCCCAACTGGCAACCAACAAAATGTTCTCTGTATCTATGAGAATGTTCCTGTTCTTCCTGTTCATTTTGTTTGTAGATTCCATTGTTGATAGATATGTATTCATTGCCATTTTGTTTGTTCATACATTTTATCTTTTTCTTTAAAAAGACCCTTCATCATTTCATAGAATAACGGTTTGGTAGTGATGAACTCCTTTAACTTTTTCTTGTCTGGGAAAATTTTTATATGTCCATCGATTCTAAATGACAGCTTTGCAGGATAGAGTAATTTTGGTTGTAGGTTCTTGGTTTTCATCACTCTGAATATTTCTTGCCACTCCCTTCTGGCCTGCAAAGTTTCTTTTGAGAAATCAGCTGACAGCCTAATGGGTACTCCCTTGTAGGTAACTAGCTGCCTTTCTCTTGCTGCTTTTAGGATTCTCTCTTTGTCTTGAACCTTTTGCATTTTGATGACGATGTGTCTTGGTGTGGGCCTCTTGGGGTTCATCTTGTTTGGGACTCTCTGTGCTTCCTGACTTGTATGTCTGTTTCCTTCACCAAGTTAGGAAAGTTTTCTGCCATTATTGTTTCAAACAGATTTTCGATTTCTTGTTCTCTCTCTTCTCCTTCCGGCACCCCCAAGATGCGAATGTTGGCGCGCTTGAAGTTGTCCCAGAGGCTCCTTACACTATCCTCATTTTTTTGGATTCTTTTTTCTTTTTGCTGTTCTGGTTGGGCGTTTTTTGCTTCCTTATATTCCAAATCGATGGTTTGCTCCTTGGATTTACGTACTCTATTATTGAAGCTATGTAAATTATTCTTTATTTCAGTTAAAGCCTCCTTCATTTCTAACTGTGCAGCGATCATTTCTGACTGGTACTTTTTTATGCTCTTGAGGCCCTCACTGAGTTCATTGAGCATCCTTATAAGCAGTATTTTGAACTCAGCATCTGTTAGGTTGCTTATCTCCATTTCGCTTAGTTCTTTTCTTGGGGTTTTGTTCTGTTCTTTCATTTGGGACCTGTTTCTTTGTATCCTCATTTTGCTTCTGTGTATTACTTAATGAGAGGTATGGGGCTCGCTGAGACCCGATGCTGCTCGTTTGAAAGAATTTAGGAAAAACCTGAAGCAGGATCCAAGACAGGCCAATCCTATGGTTAAGCAAGTAGCAACAGCTTGGGTGGGCTTGAAAGTTGTGTGGGGCGGGGTGGGGCGGGGCCTCATGGAGTCAGCAGGGCGGGGCTACCAGTGTGAGCCAGGTTGCTGGAGTCCCAGATATGGCGACTGTCTGCCACCCCAGGGAAGGGCTCACCAAAGGAACAAAGGCCTCTTACAGCACGTTTGTCCCCTAGAAAGCCCCCTCTCCAGCCCTCGCTCCAGTGCCAAACAGCTCAGTTCTTCCCTGTATGTCTCTGGCGCCCCTCGAGCTGCCTCCCCTCCGAGCTTAGAGGGAGAGAGTCCGACCAGTCCGTGCGCGGGCCCTTTGGGAGCTGCCTGTGGCTCCAGCCAGGTCAGCTTCCCTGAGCCTCAGTTTCTGCTGGTTTTTCCAGCCAGAAGTTATGGGGACTTCTCTTCCTGGCACTGGAAACCTGAGCGGGGCACCTGGTGTGGGACAGGGACCCCTCAGTCCTCAGGAAGGACCTTCCCAGCCGCGGGAGCCTCCTGATTTTTATCCGCCACACGTGGGTGTGGGACCAGCCCGTCGCGCCCCCGCACTGCTGCGCCGCTGCCGCCACCCCTCACGCCGCCGCCCCTCCTACAGGTCTGGATGTAGCTCCTTTTTTTTTTTTTTTTTAATTCCGTAGTTGTAGGACTTCCATTCAGCTTGATTTCAGGCGGTTTTGGATGATGGTTGTTCTGTAGTTTTGTTGTAACTTGGATGTGGTTGTGGGAGAACGCGATACTGCGTTTCCCTACGCCGCCATCTTGACCGGAAGTCTTGCCCATTTTTCTATATATTTTTCCCAAGGCCAGGCAGGATGTATAAAAATTTCATACATGCACACATGCAAATGTATGCATTCATCAAATTTATGGTATCAAGCCTTTAAAATTCTATACAGGTGCTTTGTCATTCCTAAGAACTTTGAGACATACTCTAACTATAGAGTGTTTATTTTCTATCTTATTTTTATGAGAGATCAAAGCCTAAACATGTGCCTAGATTAAAAACTGAAATTTCCGAATCATAAAATGTTAACTTATATTTTGCTTTAAATGTTTAAGTTAAAGGTGACCTGGATAAAATCCACTTTGTTCAGCTTTTTAAAGTAATGATAACGAGTAGAAAATGATTAATCACCTGCACATTGTAATGTACCACCACTTTTATTAATACTAGAAATATCCTATAAGACATAGTTTTACATATGTGAAGTGTAGGTGAGCAGTATTAAGAGTGACATATCACCTGGGTAATAGCTGACTTTCATCAGATTCAGAGGTACTACTAGAATGAATAATAATTAAAATATATGCCTAATCGCTGCCTGTCTGTCGGTAGTGCTAATTGCTGTCATTGAAAAGACTGAATTGTTTAAGAAAGAGAGAGAGAAAGAGAAAGTCATTCTTCATTGAAGCTATCTCCCTGTATCATTGGGAGCCTATTTTTAGTACCTATAGAAGTCATGATTTTTGAATTTATTAGAGGCTGTGATGAATGATAAAACAAATCATCCATTTACATATCTTGACACTACTTCGGAGAATACTTATTTCTTACAAGCAAGTGTCACATTGTATATAAAAGCTGGCTAATTGTGTGCTAATCTTCTGCATTATCTAGAACTCTCAGATGTGGTATTCTTTCAATAGTAATATTAATTTTGCTTATTTCAAATGTATGAAATATCTTCTAAAACCCTATTTCTTTTATAATTTCTGTTCTCTTACATTGTATAATTTTGCATTCAGCTGCTAATTAAGATTAGGAGTGCAAGTTAAGAATACATATCCACTTTAAACCATCAAGCTTTTGTAATACATGAAAATACTAATATTTTATCTGTTTTAAATGTAAAAAGAGAGAAAGCATTTAAGAATATTACTAGATATTGTGTTTGTTTTCAAGGGTTTTTTCCACACAGTTCAATAGTTTCATTGATCTACTGTTTCTTACAAAAATCTGCCATGCTTTGTGAACTTCACTTTCTAATCTCATACTGCAACCCTTCCTTTATGTTATTCCTGCTCTCCCTGGTCCCAGAACAGTAGGGTTGCCTTGACAAATCTATTCAAAAGCCATTCCTTGGCCTTTATTGGTGGGGACTGGGGCCTTTGAAATTCTCTCCTCACTGCAACACAGCTGACATCTTCTTCCAGACAGAATGAATTAAAGAAACACAATAAGACACTTGATCTACCAGTCAAGGATCTTTCCACAGTGAGGACGGATTCCATGGTGCACAACCAGGGCAGCAAGCATCTAAAAATACACAATACATGGTTGTTTACCAGAATAGCAATCAGCGATTTTTCCAACATGATTGATAGGATGATTTCTTTTAAAATAAAATCTGTGTGGAAATTCATTGTGTGTGTGTGTGTGTGTGTGTGTGTGTGTGTGTGTTGAAAAAAAATTTTTAAGCCATATATGAGGTTAATCACATTTTTTAAGCCAAACTTGAAATCAGACTTAAAACATGTGGGAGGAATATAGATTATTTTTATTTCATTTGTCTGAGTTGTAAATCATTATTGTCTTAAAAGTTGATCTTTAATGTTGAAGGCTTTGTGTCCTCAGACACACAGCTACAGTTCACCAACTGTGCCTCTTTTGAACTGTATAATACATCCCTCATTGAACCAGATTGAAGTAAAAATTAAAAGATGGTATAATTATATGGGCTAGATTTTGAGAAGTACAAAATCTATTTCTTCTAGTGTTACAAAGACAAAGAATACACTTTTTAAATGTAGCTATTTTTTCACATATTCAAAATAATATTTATTTCCATCTAAAAGTTAATAATGGACAACCTTTTAGTTTCTTTTAATCATAATCCCAGCTTTCTCTTAGGAATATATTACATCATGGTTTACAGAAGGTTACATGTCTTCTTAATGTCAGCACACATGATTTGCTGAATTGTAGAAGGTAAACTTTTCCACAGTCATGTTGGTCATGAATAATTACTAACTGTTTGCATAATTAAACCTTTTATAGTGTATGAAAAATAAATTGAATATACTTATGTTGGATAAATTAATCTCTACAGCCTGAAAAGTTGATCTTGGCTTAAAGTATGTTTCAACAGAAAATTGTCTTTATTGCATTGCAGAACTGTTGTAATTGGGTCTCCAGCTCAGAACCATTAGATACATCAGTGGAGTCCATGCTGCCCGACTGTCCCCGAGTCTCAGCAGGTATGTGTTTGAGGAGATGTGTGGTGATTTTTTTAAGGTGAAAAAAATATGCTAATGTAATGTGGAATTCTATTTTGCAAATTAAGTATTTTGTTCTGTCTTGAATCTTCTAATAAGCTTTTGGTAACACATGGCATGAGTCTGATCCACTACCAGAAATGTATTAAGTAGCTGAAAATGCATACCAACAAACCCTGTAAAGATGAGTAGGTGAAACAAGCTGAAAGTAATGTAGACTGTTGCTTGTTGAAGCTTAGGGAGATGTCCATAAGCTAAAAGTTGAGTATAGGACATGGACTGGGTACCCATACAGAATCTCAGAATATTTGTCTCTGATTGAGTACTAAGTCAGTGATACAACAGGCAGTCAAGGATCTGAATTCAGAAAAAAAGAAATTGCTGTGGTGTAGAGTCTTTAGAAAAATTTTTTGTGCAAAAGATTTTGGCTGGACTTTGTGTGTGAGGATTTGGATTGTCAGAAGACATGCAGGATGGCATTTTAGGCAAAAGAAACAGCAGTATAAGGAGTAAGTGCTAGAATGGATCTGAAGATGTTCACAGAAACTAAGGAAAAACTGGCTGCATATTGAAAGGAAAGAGGTGGTGAATGAGCACCTCGGGTGGGCTCCAGACAGTGTAAAGATGGGCAGCATTGTTTCCCAGCCTACGGGGTCTGTACTTTTGTCTCTAATCTCTACATAAGAGGAGAGAGTGACATTTGTCATTGCTTTCTGGTTTCGGCTTTCACCATTCCCAAACAATTTGGATGGTAAACAAAAATTGAGCAATGATATCTGGTTATAGCTACAGAACAAAAATGGGCTTGTTTTGTCCATAGATGCCAGAGAATAAGCAGAAGTTTTGAATGTGAACTACTCCGTACGGCATTCAGAGGAGAGAGCAAATCACTACTTACTTAGAGTTGCAGACAGTTTCACATTTGAAGGAAATAATTTGGACAGCAGTTTAAATTATTTAGAACTGTTATAACTAAATTTTACTATCATTATAGCTAACTTTTGAGGTCTGTCATCAGGGTTCAATCAGAGACACAGACCACAAGGAGATATATATGGTACAATATATGTACATGTATATATGTATGTGTGTGTGTTTTATACAGTTGATTTTCATTATTAGTGGTGATTATGTTCTATAAAGTTGCTGTGAACACTGAATTACTGAATACTGAATAACTACTTCTACAGAAAATACAGGGTTAGGTTCCTGCAAGCCTCTGGTCACAAGGTTTTCATCAACTAATCAATATATAACCTTGTTTTATGAAAGTTTCTGTTTAAAGACACCTTATTGGCCCTGGCCAGTTTGGCTCAGCGGTTAGAGCGTCGGCCTGCAGTCTGGAGAGACCCAGGTTCGGTTCCTGCTAAGGGCACGTACTTTGGTTGCAGTTTGTCCCCGGCCCTGGTTGGTCGTGTGGGTGGCAGCCACTCGATGTGTCCCTTCACATCGATGTTTCTCTCTCTCTCTCCCTCCCACTCTATCTGTACAAAAAAATGGAAAAATATCCTCGGGTGAGGATAAAAAAATAAATAAATAAATAAATAAAGACACCTTATTGAATATATATTGTTGATTCACTAACAATGAACTCACAACCAACAGCATGATAGCTCAGAATGAAGCTTATCTAACACATTTATTTTCACCATCACAGTCTTGTGATTAGGAACACTAGACAGCACTTTAGCACTATACTTGGAGGCTATTTCAGATGGTGGAAATTACCAACAAAAGCACAAAAATGTGAACAATATGGCAGATACAGTCTGAGAAAAGTATACTTGTTTACAGCCTGAGACGTAAAAGAAGACGGGAAAGCATGGCCTGTTTCCTCAGTTCGGAATGTGCACGTTAAGCAACTCAAATATTTCACTGCTCTGTGTATGCACATGTCTGAAGGGGACCATAGAAGACACATGAGTATTGATTTGGGGGGTTACAAATACATTTTAGTAAGTAGATGAATTCACAAATACGATAATGTATAAATAATGAAGACTGACTATATATAGTGAAGGATTTATCACAGGGATTTGACCAGAACTGGTTAAGCAGTCCCTGTTAGAATGTTGACTTTGTATTCAAGCTGGAGCTTAAGTCACAGAGGAGACAATCATTAAGAGAAAATGAATATAAAGTGGCTGAGAGCAAGAATGAGCTAGCACTCATTAGCATGAGCCCATGAGGATGGAATTAATAAACCCATGTCAGTTCTTGTGGCTTCTGTCCTTGGTGTTGTGGGTGTCCTGTACAGTCGTCCCTCGCCACTTCATGCTTCTACTTTCATGGCTTCACTCTATCGCATTTTTTTTTTTCAAATACAATATAGTATAGTATTTGGAAAAAACTGCAATATCAATGGGGAAAAAAGGGAGAAACTTCTGTAATACATTCAACAATAAAGATAAGTTTAAAAAAAAGAAAAAGAAAAAATCGCGATAGAGTAAAGCTGCGAAAATCAGAGCCTGAAGTGTGAGGGACGACTGTGTATGAATAATCCTACTTCGGAGGATTCCAAAAGGGCAGCGGAGTGAATAGAAGCTACACAGACCATCTCCCAGGACAAAACTGGAATTACAACGAAAATAAAGACAAATCGTCAGGAAAAAGCAACAGAAAAGCAGCTTGTAGGACCACATAACCAGGGACACTGACTCAATCCCAGTAGACTTGCAGAGATGTGAGAGGGCTGGGAGCACACGGTCTGCAGCGGCCTTAGCTGTGAGCAGTGCCCTCGGGTTAAACTCCCAAGTGGCTCCACAGTGCAGAGCCGGGAAAGAGGCTAAAATAGCCACAGCCACACACCCTGGGCTCCGGCAGAGGGGGGACAGACTGGACTAGAACTGTGTGGGAACACTCGGGATTTGGAGGGTGCTCAGAGCTTTTGCTGAGTTGCGGCCACTCAGGACTGTGGTCATCTTACTCCTTCCCAGGGCTCTGGGGAGAGGCAGAGGCCCCTCCCTCAGAGATTCAACCCCACCTGGTGGCCATTGAAATGCAAATTGAGGCCCATTAACAACCAGCATCTGCCCCACCCTCTGGTAATCCCCTTACACTGAGCACCAAAGGGACTTTTTCATTCATCTGAGAAGCCAAGGCTCATCAGGTAACCTGAGACTGATAGCCTCCAGGCAAAAAGCTAGAGGATAACTGTATCATTCTCTGGGCTAGAAACTCTAACCAGGAAAGTAAGACTGGACAGTGGTGTTTAACGTGGGTCCTCCCTGGCTCATCTAAACCCAGGAGAGGAAGCCACAAACAGCAGAACACCAGCACCCACAGGGAAAATTTGGCCGACTCCAAAGCCCACTGTGATAGCCAAAATGGTGAAACACAGAAACAAAAACCAAATGAAAGAACAAGAGGCCTCTACGGAAGATGAGATAAATGAGGTGCAGTTAAACAAGTTAACAGAACTAGAATTCAGAGCCATGATCTTGAGGAAGCTCAACAACGTGTGTAAGGGCATGAACACCATGAATAAAGACATAGAAATGTTGAAAATCAACCAGTTGGAAATTTAAAACCACCAAGAAGAAATGAAGAATGACATATCAGAAATAAAGAACACATTGGAAGGTCTAAATAGCAGAGTAGAGGAAGCTGAGGACCGGATCAGTGAATTCCAAGATAGGGTAGAAAAAATCAACCAATCAGGAAACCACAAGGAAAAAACAATTTAAAAACAGGAAGACAGCTTAAGAGAACTGTGGGACAACTGGAAACGTAATAACATTCGCATCATAGGAGTCCCCGAAGAAGAAGAAAACGAGCAAGGGTTAGAGAATATATTTGAAGAGATAGTGACAGAAAACTTCCCTAATTTGGTGAAGGAAGAAGGCATTCAAGTTCAAGAAGCACAGAGAGTCCCAACTAAGAAGAACCCAAACAGGCCCACACCAAGACACATAGTAATCAAAATGCCAAAAATTAAAGACAAAGAGAGAAATCCTAAAGGCACCAAGAGATAAGCAACAGGTGACCTACAAAGGAAACCCCATAAGTCTCTCAGCTGACTTCTCAACAGAAACACTACAGGCCAGAAGGGAATGGCATGAGGTAATCAAGGTCATGAAAAACAAGCATCTGAATCCAAGACTACTCTACCCATCAAGGCTATCATTCAAAATAGAAAGTCTAATAAAGAGCTTCCTAGACAAAAAAAAAAAAGGCTAAGGGAATATATTAGCACCAAACCAGCACTGCAGGAAATGTTAAAAGGACTGCTGTAATTAGAAGGAGAAATAGGAAGAAACATATAACCACACTAAACAAAAATGGCAATAGATAAATACATATCAGTAATCACCTTAAATGTAAATGAATTGAATGCTCCAATAAAAAGCCACAGAGTAGCTGATTGGATAAGAAGGCATGACTCATCTATATGTTGTTTACAAGAGACCCACCTCACAACAAAAGACTCACATAGGTTGAAAGAGAAGGAATGGAAAAATATCTTCCAAGCAAATGGAAAGGAAAAAAGAAGCTGGGGTAGCAATACTCATATCTGATAAAATAGATTTCAAAATGAAGACCATAACTAGAGACAAAGATGGCCACTACATAATATGGAAAGGATCTATCTAATAGGAAGATATAACCTTGATAAACATATATGCACCCAATATAGGAGCACCAAAATATATTAAAAATCTTCTGGGAGACTTCAAAGGAGAAATTGATAGGAATACAATCATAGCAGGGGACTTCAACACCCCACTGACATCACTGGATAGATCCTCTAAACAAAAAATTAGCAAGGAAACAGAGACTTTAAATGAAGCACTAGACCAAATGGATTTAATAGATATCTACAGAGAATTACACCCCAAAACTACAGAATTCACATTCTTCTCAAGTGCACATGGGACATTCTCAAAGACAGACCACATGTTAGGATACATACTAAGTCTCTACAAGTTCAAGAAGATTGAAATCATATCAAGCATCTTCTCTGATCACAGTGGCATGAAACT